ACACCATCATCATCAGCAACATCATCATCATCATCATCATCGTCAACATCATCATCACCATCCTCATCGGGACACCATCATCATCGTCGCCATCACCATCATCGGGACACCATCATCATCATCAACATCATCATCATCATCAACATCACCATCATCGGGCCACCATCATCATCAACATCAACATCATCATCAACATCATCATCATCATCATCAACATCAGCATCATCATTGTCGGGCCACGATCATCAAAATTACCATCACCATCATCAACAGCATCATCATAACCTCATCATCACCATCATCATCGGGACACCATCATCATCATGATCATCAGCATCATCATCTTCATGATCATCATCAGCATAATCATCTCACCATCCCATCATCATCAACATCATCACCATCATCAACACCATCATCATCATCATCATCATCATCGGGACACCATCATCATCAGCAACGTCAGCATCATCAACATCATCATCATCGGGACACCATCATCACCACCATGGCCATCATCATCATCATCATCATCATCATCACCATCATCATCATCATCATCATCATCATCATCATCATCATCATCATCGTCAACATCATTATCATCGGGACACCATCATCATCACCACCATCACCATCATCATCATCATCAGCATCATCATCAACATCATCGACATCATCATCAACAACATCATCATCATCATCATCCCTATCACCATCATCATCATCATCATCATCATCATCATCACCACCATCATCATCATCATCATCATCATCATCATCATCATCACCATCATCATCACCATCACCATCATCACATCATCATCATCATCATCATCATCATCATCATCATCATCATCATCATCATCATCATCATCATCATCATCATCATCATCATCATCGGGACACCGACGGGACACCAGCGGGACACCGGCAGGACACCGCGAGGCACCGGCCCCCGGAAAGAAAACATTTGGTCCGGCCGCGCCTCAGCCGGAGGCGGGACACTGGCGGGACACCGCCCGGCACCGGCCCCCGGAGAGGAATCATGTGGTCCGGCCGCGCCTCAGCCGGAGAAGACTTTCTTCTCGCCCGCCCACGCAGCTTCGCCTCGCCCGCACGCACGGCACGCACGAACACGAAACCGAAACCGATTTCCAGGTAGGAGGGCTCTCCGATCCACTTCGATCTCACCCCCTCACCTCCGATCACCCGAAAGGTGGTCGTATAGGAAAAGAACCATATTTTGATCTGACGGGCAGAAAATTTATATGCTCCCATGCAAACCGGGCGAACGTTGATACGTGAAGCCTGAAGAATCGTCCAACGCGTGGTCGAGGAGGGGGAGGGGCGATTCTGGCTCTGCCATGTTACTCATGCACTGCGCCTGGGCGGGTCCTGAAAAGGGGGCAGAGCTAGTGATTATCACGACCTCCCTACCCTACCACCCCTGCCTGGGCAGACGGTCCAGTCGCGGGCTTGGGGGAAACATTTTCGGGAAGGGGGATGCGCGGGAGTTGGTGATAGTCGGTCCCCGCCCCCTTTAGCGAAGCCTTGGCCGTTGCCCATCCGCCAGACCTCGGGATCCGTGTAAATTGCGGGTCGAAACGGGCCTTGGAGAATCGGTGGACGGGGCAGAGCGGATGATCACGGTCTGGACCGTCTCCCTGCCGTCGCGGTAGGGGAGGGGAGGCAGGAGGAGAGGGGGCGGGGGAGATCGTGATGGCCCGCCCTGTCCTTTCAGCGGAGACACTCCATATCCAAGACTTGCCCGTCGGCCAGACCCATGCAGGGCCGCGTCGCGATGCCGCGACACCGCGGCACCACAACATCTTTGAACGGATTTAGCCCCCTCCGCCTTCGCCCCAGCGATGCGACGCCGCGGTCCGGTGCAATTTTTCACACACAGCGTATTTTTCAGGCGCTCAATCATTAGTGCAGTTCGGCACTTGCGAGTACTACTTTGAAATGCCCGACGATAGCAACAATAGCTACACAGTGCGCGAGCGGATGTTGCATATGAGAAAATATAGGATGGAGAATTTAGTATGACTACCACACAACTGTTGCTTAAAAATGCTGTCAACGAGTGTGTTTGGAATGTTTAGTAGGTTCACTCACGCCCTATGGAACTTCCTGTCGACTTGGCGACTCACAAACACTGGGTTGGCGATTCGATATCAATAAAATTATGGTATCCTGTCAGTCCGCCTTCATCTCAAAAAGCGCCAGCTAGCTGTAATGGTGGCCTCAACAATAAAAAAGAAGAGATGGACGCGTGGAACAGAATACATGGAATTCTCGGAGCGGACAAGGAAGATAGCCAAGGGGGCCCGGGAATCCGCTGCAGGTGGCTGGGTTTCCGGGCGCCTCCCGGCGCCGGAGGCGCTCCCGGCGCCAGAGACGCCCGTACATCGACGAATGCGTCCATTGGTGGGTCATCCATTCCCAATCCCCCTCCCCTTCGCTGGACCCGAAAGATCTTAGGTCATGACTCGGATCTGCGGCGGACGTTCGGAGCGACTCGGGGACCCCTAGAACGCTCCAGGCGAGGCGCACCCGCTGGAAAACATCCTAAGGCTGGAGAACCACCGAGAATCAGCGCGAAAACGCCACGGCACCTCGAACCCTCGACCCCCTCTCGTCCGACCCGAAATCCCCGCCTATGGTAAGACCACGGACAATACGCGTGCCGTGAGATGGAGGATCAGTCTGCACCAAATCGGGCGTCATCATGTTGAATCGGAAAGAAAATCTGATCGGGCCGATTTGCAACGGCACGGATCGAAATCGAACTGGACCGACAGCGCCAAAATACACAACAGCGTCAAAGCGAACATCGGGTCGCGACTAAGCGTCAAATATCGGAATCGAATCGGCCCGACCTGGGCGACATCAGTGCTCCGAGTTGTTCATTGAGCGTGGAGGGGGGGCGATCTCGTGGGGGTGTACGAAGAAGCTGGAGAAATGGAAGTTGGAAAGTCTGCAAAAGTGGAGGTGGCCAGAGTTGGAAAACTGGCAGGGGCTGAATCAAGTCCGAAAAAGTTGGGGTGAGGTCGCTGGGACTGGAACAACTGAAAGATACTGGCCAGGGCTGGAAAGAGCGGAAGGGCTGGCCCCAGCCACTTTTCCCAGCTTCCCTGCAGGGATGGGCCACCTCTCGCGGGGCCCAGAGGGGGTTGGATCGCTCGAGAAGGTAGGCTCGGTGGGAGCGGAGGGGTGGGAGAGGGCCCAACGGGCCGTTCTGCGGGGTGACTCATGCTGGGGTGCGAAAGGGCCAGGAGACAGCCTCCAGACCCGAAAAGGTCCACAAACTGGACGTCGCGACTTCTCCCGACTTTCCTGCGTGTTCGGTCTTCGTTTTGAGTTCGCAGCGCTGCGCCCCATATCCTCCTCCTCCTCCTCCTCCTCCTCCTCCTCCTCCTCCTCCTCCTCCTACTCCTCCTCCTCCTCCTCCCCACCTCCCTCCTCCTGTACCTCATCCTCCTTTTGATCCCAATGTAGTTGTGTGCTAGGTCTCGTTGTATATCCGCAGAACCGCGCTCAACTGAGCTCTTGCCCCTCCTCTCCGACCCTCGTCCTACTCACCCGTGTTATCAGCATCACCCTCGTCGTCGTCATCGGCGTCAGCACAATCATATTAATCATCAGCATCGTCATCATCATCATCATCATCACCACCACCATCATCATCATCATCATCACCACCACCACCACCACCACCACCATCATCATCATCATCATCATCATCATCATCATCGTCATCACCATCATCAGCATCATCATAATCATACTCAGCAGCATAAGCATCATCACAATCATCTGCATCATCACAATCCTCATAATTCGCATCATCGTCAGCAGCAGCAGCAGAAGCAGCATGATGATCAACACCATCATCAGCAACATCAGCACCGTCAACACCATCATCACTCATGGTCATCAACACTCATCATTATCAGCCTCCTCATCTCATCATCAACATCATCATCAGCAGCAGTATCAGCATCATCATCAGCATCATCATCATCAGCAGCTGCAGCATCGTCATCAGCTTCAACACAGTTTCGCCATACCCCTCACACGTTTTGCTGCCCCATTGGGAGCTCCATCGAATGCTCTAGTGGCTCGGTCAAACCCACCTCATTGCGGTGCACCCCTCTCGCGCTTTGCTGCCCCATTGGGAGCTCCGCCGAATGCTCTAGTGGCTCGGTTAACATGGTGACCCACCACGTTGCGGTGCACTCCTCACACGGCTCGCTGCATCATAGGGAGCTCCACCGAAGGCCACAATGCCTGCATCCGCATGGTGACCCGCCCAATCGATCCGCGTCCCCCCGGCTACACCGCATGCCCCAGTGGCTGCGTCCGCATGGCGGCACGCCCCCCACACGCTCAGTGGCCCCATAGAGAGCTCCACCGAATGCTCTACGTGGCTGCATCCGAATGGTGACCCGCCCCATTTCGGCGCACCCCTCGCCCCCCACAGGGAGCTCCACCGAAGGCCCCGGCGGCAGCGTCCGCAATCTGACCTGCCACGCTCCGGGGCACCCCTCGCCTGTTTCGTAACCCCGCTGGGAGCACCGCCCAGGGCCCCAGTGGCTGCCCCCGCACGGTGCACCGCCCTGTTTCGGCACCGCGCACACGCTGCGTGGCCCCATGGGGACTTACGCCGAAGGCCTTAGCGGCTGTGTTCGCATGGGGCTCCGTCCCGTTTTGGCACATTCCTGGAACTTTCAGCGTGGTTGACGCTTTGGGCAAAGCGTTCAGGTGCACCACAGGCCCCTCACAATACTCTTGTGCATTGAGCGGCCCTGCTCATGGACGCCTCGTTTTATGAAAGGTTCTTCGCCAGGCTGATTTTGCGTCGCCTGGATCTGAGGGGGTGGCGAATCAAGTCGATATCGGATCGAAGTGGGCGCCAGGTGATGGGCAGCATGCGACCCTTGGCGGCTCGAGCGTGGACGAGTCCGGCGGCCCGCGCGTACAATCGCCGCGGCCTCCAGGCGCCAGGCCTTCTCCGCGGCGTCGTACACGAAGGTGGAGCCGTCCCTGCGTCACGGACGGGGGGGGGGGGGGACGATCCCAAATCTCCGACGATGCGAGCTTTCAACCCTTGCGTTCTATATCGGGTTCGGCCTCTGGTGCCCGCTTTCGGGCCTGGGGCCGTCAAACAGGTTCCAGGGCGAAAACGAACCCAGGGGAACGGGTCGGAACCTCTGGGGCCGCGCAAAGAAACAAAAACATTTCGTCGGATGTCTGAGGGGGGAGAGGTGGCCTAGAGCCGAAACATTGACCAGGAACCGGCGATGCATCGCCGATAGATCGGCGACAGGCCCCGAGACGGCGAACCCGCCTGCTCCTGGGCAAGGTAGGGGAGGCCCAGGCCCCGACTGGCGACGAATTGGTGATTGGAGGTCCCCCGCGCATGCCAGCGATCCTCGCCGTCTGGTTTCCGGGTGATGACTCGAGTCTCTGGCGGCCGTTCGGAGCGATCTGGGCACCCCCGAACGCCTCTCGGCGAGGCGCAGCTCCTGTATAACCACCGGTAACCGACGAAAATGTCTGAGAAATCAAACCTCGATCTGTCCCGAGGAAGGTCGATGGGCGATTGAGGCTGGACATGTGTCTCCCCCTAGGCTAGTCGCCCACCTGTCGGTGCCCCTGACTGGGGAGGGGGGGGGCCGCGACGAAGCCCGAGCGAGCAACGCACGAGACTTGTCGGGGCGGACGAGCGCTCGCACAATGCGCTCTCTCGGAACCCGTGTCAATTCACGCACGCGCGCGTCTTTGCTTCGCTCCTGGAAGCAGGAGCCCTTGCTGCGTGACGACTGGGTCCACGACGGCCCAGTGCAGGCCACGGGCCCCACTGATCGGACCATGTTCGGTGACGCCGGCGCCCTAGGCCTTCGACTACTTCCCCGGGCCCGAATTTGTCATACACATGTTTTGGGCCATCACCAGGTCGAAGGAACGGCCTCCAGGGGCCGAGATAATGAGAAACAACTCCCCCCACGATTGTTTTAGCGTCGCCAAGATCTGAGTGCTACGATCGATGAAAAGCAAGGCCGACGCATATCTTGGGTCGGACCAAGGGGTTCGCGACTCAGCTCACCTAGCTAGTTTCCCCGGCGCCTCGGAGCAAGAGGCGCCCAGGCATTGAGAAAAGCGAGTAGCGGCAGGGCCGAAACCCAATACCCACCCTCCATCCAATCAGAATGATCCTCCTCGCCGGCAATGGGGGTCACAGAACTTGGCCTCCGGCGGCCGTTCGAGACGACTCGGGCACTCCCGAAACGCTCTCGGCTGTTAGAGAGCATCGCGAGACTGGAGAACTGCCGAGATCCCGCGAAAACGCAGGAAAACCTCTAACCATCAACTCCCTTTCGTCCGATCCGAGAATCTCCAAGAAGATACAAAAAAACGTTCGAATGTCCGCGCAGGTCCAGAAAAATCGCGCGACCCTCTGGAATGTCAAAAATGTTCATGCGATTCTGCGTCTTCCTCGACCTCCGGGAGAGGCAACTGCGATTCGCTGCCCCTGGCGCTAGCCGGGGCTACGCGAGCCCCCGGGCCCCCGCGCCGGCCGGCCGGGCGGCGCCGCCAGCCTCGTGCGGTGCACCCTGCGCCGTGGCGCGGGGGCCTCGCGGGGGCTGCGGCCGGGCACAGCTCGGGGAACCGTGCTCCTGGTGACAGGTTCGCGTCGTGACGGCCCGACACAAGGGCACACCCTCCCTGCCTCCACCCTCAAGCGGCTCAGCGTCGAGTCAGGCTCGTGACTCACAGGCGCAGGGCAGGCTCGTGTCGTGACGACCCCAGCGTTGGTGAGACCATCATATCGACAATTTGACAGGGGTGTCAGACCCCCGACCGAAGCCGAAGACCAACAAAAACAAACAAACCAGCCGAGCCGACAGCGACACCGGCCCGAATCGGGCGAGCACAGCTGAAAACGATGCAGCGACGCAGCAACGATGCAACAATCGACCGAACCGAACCGACCGAACCTAACTGCCTGCGACGACAGGGGCAAATAACCCAAGGAGAGACAATACATGCATCCATGGGCGCCGATGGCTCACGTACTCGGCGAGGCTCCGAGGCGAGTGCGTGCAATTCCCGCCCCTGGGCGACTCGCCCCCACCTTCGCCTCGTCACCCCCCGACGATGCTGCCCCCCCTAGCGACGCCAGGCGAACGGCCTCTGCGGCGCCGGCACCGCCTTCCGCCCGCACCGCCGAAGGGCAGGCGGTCTGCGGCTCCCCTGGCGGGGCGGGGCCTCGCGAGCGACGCCGACGCGCCGTCCGACCTCCTCCTGTTCCTCCTCCTGTCCCCCCTCGTGCTCAACATCCTATAATTTCCTTGTCCTTTTCTTCCTCCCCTTCCCCCTCCTCCTCCTCCTCTTCCTCCTCCTCGTCCTCCTCCTCCTCCTCCTCATCCAGATGCTCCTCCTCCACCTCCATCCTTTCCTCTGAAAAGCAACTCTGCCCTGTCGCAACCCCAAACGTGTCCGTCGGCCGGGCGGGGCGTTCCGCTCGAAACTTCCTCGATTCTGAAGCTTGAAGTCTGCAAGAATCTCCAGTGGTGCAGGGCTCGTCGTTTTCAAAATCAAGCTCTCACCCTAGCGCCGCGCGCGCTCGTTTCAAAAGTTTGCACGAATTTATACGATGGAGGGCGGGTCGTTTTCAGAATGGGGTTCTCGCGGTAACGCTGTGGACATTCGTCGTACATGATTGAATAAGTGTTTCAAGGACGGGGGCTGGCATCGTTTCAGAATGTGGCTCTCGCCTGCGGCCGCGCAAATTCATTGAAAGCGTTGCAGCAGTATCAGGGATTCGTATGGCTGAGATCCCGGTGATGATGAGCAGGAGCGACTCGGGATTGCCAGGACGAAACAGTCATGTGGAATCGCGGTGTTGACGTCCGTGGACATGATTTGGCACGATTCAGCACTGTCATAACGCACAAGCCACAAGCCACGTCGATTCGCGGCATGGAAGTCCAAGCAAGTTGTGTCTCGCCCGAATTCTATCAAACCCAAAATGTCGAGCTGTCGTTTGATTGCCCTTTTTGCTTGCCCTGGCGGGGGCATCTCCCTCCCCCCGTGGAGACACCTCGTGGGGCCCCGAAACGTGTAAGGGATACCCCGAAATCGGCCCAGGGCATCCCGTGGAGACCCCTCATGGGGCCACGAAACGTGTGAGGAGTGCTCCGAACTTGGGCCGTTGGTGTGGGCGTGGGCGTGGGCTTGTGAACGGGCGTGGGCATGGGCGTGGATGTGGGTGCGGGCGTGGGCGTGGGCGTGGGCGTGGGCGTGGGCGTGGGCGTGAGCGTGGGCGTGGGCGTGGGCGTCGGCGTGGGCGTGGGCGTGGGCGTCGGTGTGGGGGTGGGTACTGGCCTGCTGCCCCCCCCCCCCCCTCAGGCGTGGGCGTGGGCGTCGGCGTCGGTGTGGGTGCTGCCCTGCTGCCCTCCCCTCCGGGGACGGGGCACACAAACGCGTTCTCGCCAACAATAACAGCAACAACCACAACAACAACAGCAACAACAACAACAATCATCTTAGGCATTCCGTATACCCCAACCCTCGATACCCGCCCACTTCGTCTTCGATTGAGGTGCGAGGTAATCTCGAGCGAGAGCGCCGTTACATGGACAAATATCGAACGGGAACCCTTGTCGCCGTGTCTGGGCCTCGACCAACTTGTCCGAGATACAAGAAAATCCGGAGCGAGAGCGCCGTTCCTGAGTTCGGGGGCCTTCTTGACAAGGATCTTCGGAGTAAACCGTGAAGAAGTTCAAAGCAAGAGCCCTTGTCGTCGTGGCTGGGCCTCCGCCAACTTGACTGAATTGCGACGAAATCTCGAGCGAGAGCGCCGTTCCTGAGTTCGGGGGCCTCCCTGGACAGGGAGGGTGTCTCGGGGCAAAATGTGAGGAAGTATCGACCGGGAGACGTTGTCGTCGTAGCTGGACCTCCAAGGGCCCACATTTAGGCTCAAGCCGACGCTCGAGCGGGAGCCTCGCTTTCAGAGAATATGTAGCCGGCGTCGAAGCGAGAGCGCGCGGAACCGCTTCCAGATATCAGCAAAAATTATTATCTGGAAGTGAGTATTCAACAACATCAACAACAACATCAGCAACAGCAACAGCAACAGCAACAGCAACAGCAACAGCAGCAGCAGCAACAACAACAATTACGTTAAGACTGTTCGCTCTTATCTGCTCGAGTGTCATTCAACGTGTATTTCAAAAACCCTCCATACCCGCCCTCTTCGTCGTCGATCGTGCCCCTTTTGGGGGGTGTATTTTTCTTCCTTGCAGGCCGGGCCCCGGCAAGCGGCGGGGCGGCCGAGGACCGTGGGCCTCGCCAGCGGCAGCGCCGATCGGCGGCAACCCGTCCCCAAGAGGGACGGACAGGGTGCCGACCACGACAACGACGACGACGACGACGAAAACGACGACGAGGACGACGACGACGACGACGACGACGACGACGACGACGACGACGACGACGACGGCGACGACGACGACGAGCGAAAGAGAGAGCGAGGGCGAGAGCGAGAGCGAGAGCGGGGCCACGAAAGGCAGGAAGGGGGCCACGCACGGCGACAGCGGGACCACGGAAGGCACACGTAGGAGGCCACGACGGGCGCGAACGAGCGGGGGCCACGAAGGGCAGATAATGCGGGGCCATAGAGGGTAACGACGGGGCCACTGAGGGTAGCAACGGGGCCACGAAGGGCAGCGACGGGGCCACGAAGGACGACAGCGGGGCCACCAAGCGCATGCATAGGAGGCCCCGACGGGCGCGAACGAGCGGGGGCCACGAAGGGCATACACATCTGGGGCCACGAAGGGCAGCGAGGGGGCCACGAAGGGCGGCGAGGGGGCCACGAAGAGCAGCGATGGAGCCACGGAGGGCTGCAACGGCTGCAACGGGTCCACGAAGGGCAGCGAGGGGCAACGAAAGGGAGGGTGCCATGAAGGGCAGCAACTGGCCCACGAAGGGCAGCGAGGGGGCCACGAAGGGCTGATAACGCGGGGCCACAAAGGGCAACGACGGGGCCACTGAGGGTAGCAACGGGGCCACGAAGGACAGCGACGGGGGCCACGAAGGACGACAGCGGGGCCACCAAGCGCATGCATAGGAGGCCCCGACGGGCGCGAACGAGCGGGGGCCACGAAGGGCTGCAACACAGCCACGACGGGCAGCGACGGGGCCAGGAAGGGCTGCAACGGGGCCACGAACGGCAGCGAGGGGGCCACGAAGGGCTGCAACGGGTCCACGAAGGGCAACGAGGGGTCCACGAAGGGCGGCAACGGAGCCACGAAGGGCAGCGAGGGGACCACGAAGGGCTGCAATGGGGCCACGAAGGGCAGCGAGAGCCCGATTCCTAAGTAAGCTGCGAGGGAGTCCTAAGCGTGAGCGTGACTCCTGGGTGCCTGATTGTCGGGAGCGCGGCGCTTGAGTAAATCGCGGGGACTTCCAACGCAAGAGCGCGATTCTTGAGTAAATTGCAAGCGAGTCTCCAGCGAGAGCGCGGCTCCAGAGCGCCGAGAGAGAGAGAGAGAGAGCGATTCCTCCTTAAGTTGGAAGGAAATCCCAAGCGAGAGCGCGATTCCGGAGTACAAGGCGAAGAAGTCTCAAGCGGGAACGGGGGTCCTAGCTAAATTGTGCGGACGCATCAGGTGGGAACCGTTGCTGTTGTAACCCAGAGCCAAAAGCACAATTTGAGCCGAGTGGCGTTCCCTTCTACTGTTCTTTTTATAAATTTAAAGACAAAAAGCAAAAATCCGGGGGAAGCGCTCTATTTCAAAAAAAAACTCGAATCTTCACCGGAGGGGGGATCAACAATCCTTGTACAGACAGCAACACCAGCAGCAGCAACAACAACAATCAGTTTAAGACTGCTCGCTTGTATCTGCTCGAGTGTCATTCAACATGTATTTCAAAAACCCTCCATACCCGCCGTCGTCGATCGTGCCCCTTTTGGCGGATATGTTTTTCTTCCTTGCTGGCCGGGCCCCGGCAAGCGGCCGGGCGGCCGCGGACCGCCGGCCTGGCCAGTGGCAGCGCTGATCGGCGGCAACCCGACCCCAAGAGGGACGGACAGGGGACCGACCACGACGACGACGACGACGACGACGACGATGATGACGACGACGACGACGACGACGACGACGACGACAACGAGCAAAAGCGAAACCGAAAGCAAAAGCGAAAGCGACAGCTACAGCGAGAGCGAGAGCGTGAGCGGGGCCACCAAAGGCAGGAAGGGGGCCACGCAGGGCGACAGCGGGGCCACGAAGTGCATGCGTATGGGGCCACGAAAGGCGCGAACGAACGGGGGCAACGAAGGGCTGATAACGCGGGGCCACAAAGGGCAACGACGGGGCCACTGAGGGTAGCAACGGGTCCACGTAGGACAGCGACGGGGGCCACAAAGGGCGACAGCGGGGCCACTAAGGGCATGAAACGGGGCCACGACGGGCTGCAGCGGGGCCACGAAGGACTGCAGCGTGAGCGGGGCCACGAAGGGACGGACAGGGCCTCCACCAACTTGTCCGAGTTGCGAGAAAGTCCAGAGCGAGAGCGCCGTTCCTGAGTTCGGGGGCCTTCTTGGCAAGGATCTTCGGAGTAAGTCGTGAAGAAGTTCAAAGCAAGAGCCTTTGTCGTCGTGGCTGGGCCTCCGCCAACTTGACTGAATTGCGACGAAGTCGCGAGCGAGAGCGCCGTTCCTGAGTTCGGGGGCATCTCTGGACAGGATGTCTCGGGGCAAAATGTGAGGAAGTATCGACCGGGAGACGTTGTCGTCGTAGCTGGGCCTCCAAGGGCCCACATTTAGGCTCAAACAAACGCTCGAGCGGGAGCCTCGGTTTCAGCGAACATGTAGCCGGCGTCGAGGCGAGAGCGCGCGGAACCGCTTCCAGATACCAGCAAAAATTATTATCTGGACATGAGTACTCAACAACATCAACAACAACATCAGCAACAGCAACAGCAACAACAACGGCAACAGCAGCAGCAACAGCAGCAGCAACAACAACAATCAGTTTAAGACGGTTCGCTCTTATCTGCTCGAGTGTCATTCAACGTGTATTTCCTAAACCTTCGATACCCGCCCTCTTCGTCTTCGATCGTGCCCCTTTTGGGGGGTGTATTTTTCTTCCTTGCAGGCCGGGCCACGGCAAACGGCGAGCGGCCGCGGACCGTCGGCCTGGCCAGCGGCAGCGCTGATCGGGGCAACCCGACCCCAAGAGGGACGGACAGGGGACCGACCA